GTCTTTCTCTTTTTCTCCAACCCTCCACTTTACCAAACATGATATCCTTCTCCAGTGACTGGTCCCTTCTGACAATATGTCTGAAGTATGAGAGACGAAGTCTAGCCATACTGGCTTCCAAGAAGCACTTTGACTATACTTCTTCCATCACAGATCTTTTTGTTCTTCTGGAAGTCCATGGAACTTTTACTATTCCTCTCCAATATCATAATTCAAATGCATCACTTCTTCTACAGTCTTCCTTATTCACTGTTCAACTTTCGCATGCTTATGAGGCTATTGAAAATACCATGGCTTGGGTCAAGCACAGTTTAATCCTCAAACTGACATCTTTGCTCTTGACCACTTTAAAGAGGTCTTGTGCAGCAGATTTGCCTATTGCAATATGTCGTTTGATTTCTTGACTGTTGCTTCCATGGTGTTGATGGTTGATGCAAGCAAAATGAAGTCTTTGACAACTTCAATCTTTTCTCCATTTATATAGATGTTGTTTATTGGTGCAGTGGTGAGGAATTTTGTTTTCCTTATATTGAGATGCAACCCATACTGAAAGTCTGTGTGTGGTCTTTGATCTTCATCAGCAAGTATTTTAAGTTCTCTTCACTTTCAGCAAGCAAGATTCTGTCATTTGCATATTGCATAGACATTTGTCATTCTCGGCATAGTAAACCATGTGATTATCAGATTCAAAATGTCCAATACCAGTCCATTTCAACTCACTAATGAATATACGTTCCATTGCACTTTTGACAACTTATAATTTTCCTAGATTCATACTTCATACATTCCATGTTCTGATTATTGATGGATTTTTACAGCTGTTTCTCTTCATTTTGAGTTGTGCCCCATCAGCAAGTGAGGTCCCAAGGGACCATTCTCGTCATCACTACTTTGAAGTCAACTCTACTTTGAGGAGGGAGCTCTTTCCCAGTTGCATTTTGAGTGCCTTTCAACATGAGGGGCTCATCTTCCAGCAGTATATCTGACAATATTCTGGTGTTCTTAATCATGTTTCAAGATTCAATATTCTAGTGCTATCTGACAGTGTTCCACTGCTATTTATAAGTGTTTCAGTGATTACCTTTGGATATAGTCAATCTTTCCTTCTTCCTAGTCTGAAATTCATCTGAAACCTGCTGGCCCTGCTGGTGGCATATGTGGTGGCATGGGTGACCCTGCTGGTATTTAAAATGCTGGTGGCATAGCTTCCAGAATCACAGCAATACACAAGCCACCCCAGTATGACAAACTGATGATGAGTTGTGGTGAAGGAATGGAGCAAAGAGTAAATTGGGGATCCTTGTGAAGTTGGGTGTGTAGTTGAATGATGAGGACAGTAGACTTACTGCCAGCTCTTGACATTTTTTTGAGAGCACACAACCAAGCTGTTGAAACTAGGGATGTGCATGTGAACCCCAAACGTTCCCTATTAAAGGACTTATAAAATGGAAAAGAAATTATGATCAGAGTTTGGAGGAAAGAGAGAGAAGCCAGTTCTGAACTAGTCTCTGAGATTTTATGTAGGAAAGGGACTTTGAAGGATGGATTTGGACTGCATTTATGTCCGTGGGTCTACAAAATGGACTGTGTCCTTCGTTATATGTGCAAGTCTGGCTTTATATGTGCATGTGTTTGTGCCTGTGTCTCCTCAAATATGTCTGACTCAGGGTGTTCCCGTGTCTATGTAGTGTGTTTTTTCAGGACATGCCTCTGTGTATTCTGTAGTATTTTTGTGTGGCATCTTTGGATCTGTGTCTTTCTTTTTATATCCATGTGTGATTGGATGTTTGTGTGTCCATGTGTTATTGGCACTGTGTATGAGATTCTGGTCTGGCCTCACTTTTTTACATCCTCCCCTTCCCCCATCCCATGTGCCCTAGTTGCCAGAGTATTTACCGCAAAGATAGGTTTCCCTTCCCGCAGTCTGGATTCCCACGGGTCCGTCCATCTGCCCAGGGTCTTGCCCCTGCAGCCTCTGTACATGCTTGACCTTGGGGGTGATACACTCTGGAAAGCCCCCAGCATGCTCCTTGCTTGGCCATGGATCCAGAAAGGTTACAGTGAAGGAGACAAATAGGGGAAGGGGGGCTGTTGGCAGAACCAATCCCTCATTCTGGAAACAGATATCATCCTCAAGGCCCTTCTTTCCCTGTGGTCTCCTGCAGACAAGTATTCAAGAGCCTGACCTCACTGTCTTTGGGAATGGGAATGTACAAATCCTTGCAGGTCCATCCAGACTCGGTGGGGATGTGTCACACTCTGTTTCCCAGAACCTTACCTGCCTGCACGGTGCCCTTTCTTCATCTGTCCACTCCAGTTTAAGGTTGTCTGTCCTTTTCTAACCCTATAGTAAACACAAGAACCATTCTTGTCCTTCATTTTATGACTGCCCTGGCTTGTGCCATATGCCCCTGAGCACAGGTCTTGGTGACCAGCCAAGCAGCAGAGACCCAGCAACCTCTTCATAGTGCAGAGAACCGCATGTCTGTAGCATCTCACTTTCTGACTCCTGGGCTCAGTGTGTTTTTTGCTTTCACTCAATGGGCTGAGGTGAGTATGCACAAGATGAGGCGGGCATGGTTCCTCTCTTAAAGGATTCAGAGATTAGCAGGAAGAATGGCGTTTGAAGAAGGCATTCTTCTTTCACTTCTCTTAGTCATCTCCCTAAGTTACATTGACAGAATTCTGAAGTACTTATCTAGAGCCCAAAGGAAGAGCTCTGGAAGGTCAGGGTTGTTCACCATGACATGTTACCTCAAAGGCCCAGAGGTCAACTCTAAAGATCCTGAGCAAGCAGTGATACATTCCTAGCATCTACTATCATTTATTGGGCATATTATTACATTTTGGAGGTTTGTGTCCTGCCATGAAGCTTGCATTTTGTTCTGATTTTGACTTTCTTGATCTCTACAGGAAGGAGGAGGTGAGATTGTATTAAGGTTGTGGAATATGATGAGCTGAGCTTCATTCCCTCACCTTGCAGGAGTTTACAGGCTCTCACCCTTTCTCTTCTCAGTTCATTTCACTGCCCCTACCCCCCAGCACTTTGGAATGAGACTTTGGGTCAACATCATGAGCCCATGCTGCGCTAGGGCAGGTAGGAGCCTGTGGGGACCATGGGAAGGACCTGCTCCACCCTAAGTCAGGATGTGTGCACACTAACCCTGGCTTCCCACCTGATGCTGCGGTGACCCTTTTGAGTCACTTCCCTTCACTTTGGTCTTCCTCTATTCTCTGTTTCATGGCTCTCTGCCTAACTCCCATCAGGCAGGGAGGATATGCCTGCTGTAAGACCTCTTTTGGGAATTCATTAGGAAAACACCTGGGAATGTTGGCATGGCAGGCTTAGGGCTGGCACCATCTCTCCTCTGGAGGCCACACATCCTTTAGACATAGAATTGTAACTCAAAGCAGGGACACTCATATTTCTTTCCATTCTTGCTCTTCTGTTACAATGAAACATTGTCCTAAGTACTGGGGTCCTATAGAGGAAGGGGGTTAAACTACCACTTCTCCTTCCAGGTTGATGGCATGGGGGGTGATCCTGGATTTCCTTAGGAACCAAAGAGGGAGGAGTACCTGACAACCTCAATACCACATTATAAGGAAGCCATATTTTCCAGCTCTTGGCTTCTTGGTGGTAAGTCAGTAGAGGATGCAGACGTGGTACCTTCTAAGGGATACTGGGCAGCTCGAACACACAGAAATACATCCCATTTACCCAGAGCTTCATCTTCTTCCTTCCCAAGTCTCTCCTCCTAACCCCAAATCTCACTGGTCCCTGAACACTAGGATGCCATATCTGTTTGTTTCTGCATCTCTAGTCTCATCATCTTCCTTAGACTCCATGTGTCTAGAGGTTTACCTGATATCTCTCATGCAACTTCAGTATTCTAAGAGCCTCTGCTTAATACTAATGATTAGCAATCCAGACACCTCTCTATGCCAATCTAGGTTCTCAGCCAGCTAAAACCTCTTTAGGAATTCATAAAACTTAGTTATAGTAACTTCCAGAATCCCTCTCTACCTTTTGATTTCAGACACGGTTCTCCATTCCTCTTCCCCCAACTCCAGCCATGGTCCTTTCCCAGTTCCCCACTCACCCTTCCTGAGTGTTTGCCCACACTTTCTTACATGTGTGGGGGGAACTTCTGATCCACGTGATGTACCCTCATTAATGTTACATCATCACACTTGAGTCTTCTCAATTTCATGAATAATCTATATGTTACCAAATCTAATAATAATAATAGCAATTGTCAACTCTGAATCCTTATCTTGTCCACTTAGTAACTTTTCATGCAATTGATTATTTTCTCCTTGAAATACTTTCCTTTCTTGGCTTCCAGTGTACCACTTTCTATCGGTTTTTCTCCTATCATACTGGCTGCTGCTTCTCAGTCTTCTCTGCTTACTGGTTCCTCCTTTTCTCCACAATTTCTTTCTTATTGCTGGAGAGTCCTAGGGCCCAGCCCTTTTACCTTGCCTTCATTTACACTTACTGCTTTTGTGGTCTTATCCACTGTCATGGTTTTAAGTACATGCACCTATCTCTCTTCTCCTCTCCTCTTTTCTCTGTTTCTGTCTCTTCTTTCCAGGACCCTTCCTAAGGCTGTATTTAGAATAGGTTATTGAGAGTATGGGCTCAGGAAGGAGGAGGTTAGTTATGAAATTTCTGCAGTAATGGTGACAGCAGACGTGATGAGAAGGGTCAGATTCTGGATTTATTTTGAAAGTAGAGACAATAGGAGGTACTGATATATTGAATGTAGGTGATTAGGGGAAAAAGGATGACTGACGCCAATGTCTTTGGCCTGGACCATGGAAAGGTTGGAGTTGCCATTAACTGATGTTGTAACAAGTTTGGTGTGATTGGGTTTTGGGGCAGGGGTGGGATGGGAAGGGAGGCGGCGTGCAGGCAGTGGAGGATGGGAATCAGTTCACTTCTGTACAGTTGGAGATGAATATAGGACACCAACTATGTATGTTGATTAGGCAACTGGGTATGCTAGACTGTCTGCCCCATGAAATTATGAGCTCCATGGGGTAGGACCTGTGTCTTATTGCCTGCTCTGCCTTACATAGTACCTGGTATTTTGTTGAATGTAAGGCTCAGCTCAAGGTGATTTTAATTGTAACCCTTCTGACATTCTCTTCATCAACTGAATACTTCCGACTGTGGCAGGCTCCCATACACCAGAACATTCAACACACTGGTATAATGATTTGTCTGTCTCTACACCCCAGATTGGACTCCCGACGTGGTGTTGTAGGATAAGCACTTGACCAAAAGGTCAGTTTGAACCACAAAGTTGGCAGTTCAAACTCACCAGGCACTCTTCAGCAACCCTATCGAGGGTTGCTATGGGTTGGAACTGACTCAATGGCACTTAACAGCAACAACAAAACCCCAGATTATAGATCAGCAATATATTACCATGTACTGGCTGCAATTAAGCCCTGGAATTATTGTACTAATTGAGGCAGAAAATGATGAAATACTGAACTATAAGTAAAAACTAAGACTAGAGAATGGGGACAAAGTTAAGTGGTATCTAGATGACTTGATTATGGGCCAAATAAGAAAGGAGGCAGCTAGTGACACCATTCCCTGATGTTAGGAAATAGTTTGGTGGGATCCAAGGCAAGTATATGGAAATTTCTGAACTAATTTGTGATGTCTTTGAAGCAAGGTGAAAATTTCTTTTGCTGGCTGTATATCAGCACTGATGCAGTGGTTCAAGTACTCAGCTGCTAACCAAGAGGTCAGCAATTTAACCCACTAGCCACTCTATGGGAGACAGATACAGCAACTGCTTCCATAAAGATCTGCAACCTCAGAAGCCCCACGGGAGGCTTCTATCCACTGGGGTCACTGTGAGTGGAATGCACTCACTGGCAATGGGTTGGCTGTACAGTCTGCAGCTCAAGGAGAAGACTCGGTCAGAGCAATGTTTTTGGAAATCATCAATACATAGTAGTAATAGATGCTTTGTTATGAGTAAACTATTATCCCCATTTCCCAGATGAAGAAACTGGGACTTAGAGATATTTGCTCATTAAATGGCAGAGCTAGCTAGGATTCTAATCCTGATGATCGTAGTCCACATTCCATCCTTGTGAAGTAGATTTTAAAACCTGCATTCCCCCAGGGGTCAGACATGTGGCCCAAAACTTATAAAAATATACTTGCTTAAGTGTTTATAATGTTTTCCTTGAATTCTGATTTTGCTGCCCTTTGCCTCTGTTTATTATCATTTTGTTTTCAAATCATTCTTTGGTCCCTTCAGCCAGAGTTTTCTTCCAAAGGAAAGGGAATGAGCCAAATCTTTTATCCATACTTAACCTTCTCCTGAGTAGAGCCAGCATAGCCCTGTGCTGTTTACCATCACCTCCTGAAGATGTACAGGATGTCTTCCTCCCAGGAAGACCAATGTCTGACCCAGCAGAAGCAAATAGAAGGGCATTTGGGTCTTCTCAGAAATTCAGGGGCCTATGGGCCTGATGTTCACCAGGGAGCAGTCTGACTCTGTGACCCTCTACTACTAGGCTCCATTTGGTAGTAGATAACCCCCATGGTGATGGTGCTGGGAAAAGGGCCACAGACTGGACTGAGCATGAGGAAAGAACTCTAGCAGTCCCAATATAGTAAGCTGTTGTCATCTGACTCTTTAGTGACCCTGCATGGGGTTTCTGAGAAGCAGCTGGTGGGTTTGAACTGCTGACCTTGTGGTTAGCAGTCTAGTGCAGATCCTAAAGTACCACATCAGGACATTTGGAGCTGAAAGACCTCCCCAAACAGGCTCAGTGGAAGAATATCATTTAATATCTGTTTGAGGGTGTCCTTGGAAGACTTCTATTTTCTAGCAGCAACTTACAGAACTCAACCTGCCTCTCAACCAGCCTCTTGGGTTTCATTTTAAGGGTTTCAGAGAATTGCATATAATATTTTCATTAACAGTAAACACTCATATTTCTCTGAAATGGCCAACTATTGGAGGCAAAAGGGCCAGAGTTCCACTTCAGTTCAAAGCAGGTGAGCCAGTTGTTAGAGACTTCTCAGTGCATTCTAGATTCCTGGCCACTTACTGGTTAATTGGCAGGACACTTTCTAAGACTTTTACCCTCTCCTTTTGACAGTCAAGGTAAGTGGTTTTGGTGTGTTTTCATATGGATAGGGAAGGATGATGTGGGGAGCAAACTTAAATTGGGGAAGGGGAGGCTGGCAATAGGAGAAGACCCCTTGTGGCACAGTGGTTAAAGTTTTCTAAAGGTCTCTGATTCAAACTACCAGCTTCTTCATGGGAGAAAGATGTGGCAGTCTGCTTGTGTAAAGATTTACAGTCTCAGATGCCCTATGGAACAATTCTGTTCTGTCCACTACTGTCTCTATGAGATGGAATTGACTTGATGACAGTGGATTTGGAGGCACTAGGTTATGGTGCAAACCTTGGAGTGGGGTAAAGGAAAGGAGTTATCTTTTGAGAGGAAGGCAGATCCTAGGGGGGATATGACTGAGTTCAGCACCAATGCTTAAAATAAGTATATTCAAGAAAGCAAGGCAGAGGCAAAGTGAGGTGGTGGAGAATGACTCCAGGTGGAGTCCTGGTGTGGCGCCGTAGGATAAGAACTGGACCGCAAGGTCAGTTTGAACAGCAGGTCAGCGGTTCGAACTCACCTGCCGCTCCTTGGAAACCCTATACAGGGTCGCTATGAGTCAGAATCGACTGTCGTGCATTTAGCAACAACAACAATAGGTAATATAGAAATAAGACCCAGTAGCAGGGCCAGGGCCAAGCTGCTGGCAGGAATTTGGCAGGCTGGGACATGTCTAGAAAACCCCTTGTATTTTCTGTGATCCTTTCCCAGAAACTTCAATACTTCAGCTCACTGCTCACATTACTTATCTGCAAGCAGATTGAATCTCAGAATCTACACTCACCTGCCTTCTTCAAGACCACCCAGACCACTTGGGTTGACTTCCTGGATTTGAGCTTTTTTTTTTTTTTCCAGTGCAAAGAAAATCAGCGTTTCCTCATCATGCCGATAAGAACATCTCATTTTGTAATAGGTATATTCACACCTCTGTCTACATTCTCTACCTGCCTGTTTTCCTGCTTTTCCTTAGGGGTGGGGAACAAATCCCTCTCTATTCCCTACTCTGCTCTTCATTCTAGGAGGCATTCCTTCCATGCAGCTGAGAGGCAGTGAAGGTGGGTTCCTGGATGGGTTCTCTAGAAAGATCTTGTCTCTACCAACAGGGAACATAGATAGGAGAGTCTGTATTTTGGTTGTGACATCTGTTATACTAACTGTTTTGCAAATCATGAAAGTAGTTCTTCAAGGATGGAGCACTGTGGCACTCCCCTAAAAACCTCCCATCCAGATGGTGGGTAAATGTGGGCCAACAACATACAGATGTTCCAACCACTCCTGCTCAGTTGCTGTCTTGCCCACATTGCTCCTCTGGTGTCCAAGGTAATCTTGGGGAGCCATGATAGAATTTCAGCCTGACCTTAACCCGCAATACACTTTAAACAAAGGCCTTACCTTCTATGCTCAAGTTCTTTTATCTAGTCTAGTATGGGACTGGGAGAAGTTGTTTGGAATGCTGGCCCACCTGAAGTGAAGTTTTAAACTTTTTAACTAGATAGGAAGGATTGTTAAATCTCCCTCATGTATTCCCTTATCACACCACAGTGGATACAAAAAGGAGAAAGCAGACAGCTCTTTGCTTAAAGATATATTTGAAAGTGGCACTTTGTCTCACATGCACCTTAATAAAATGACAATATGAGTTTTCTTTAAGGTTTGAGAAGTTATAAAATCTCTTGGATTATGCTGGGTCTTCTCCTTGAAGAGGCCAATGTTTCCCTCTAAGTTGAGATTCGGGACCTAGGGTGGGTTTAATGGTTGGGTGGCACAAGTCACTCGAGGACAGTGCCGAGGACAGTGGCGGGGGTGGCCCAGGACTGAGGCAGAGTGGAGTTGATGAGAGCGGTACCAGAACTGATTGTCTGGGGCTAGAGGGCCATCCAGAAAGGCCAGGCCCACATGCTTCTCAGCAGGAGGAGATTGGGACCGGGGGCCTCCTACTGTCTTCTCTGCTGTAGCTTGCCCCATAGGGCCTTTGGCTGGGGTCAGGCGCTTCTCAGCACTTTTTTCCTTTCTTTTAATCACTTTCTCTGCTGTAGAGAGCATGGATTCTTCCTTCACTTTGCCTTTTGTTTTGGGATTAATACAGTGAAGGAAGTGTTTTATTTTATTTCTTAAGCTAATTTCTGAAGGGTTGAGACTCTTGTGACTATGGGCAGTTCTCACCTGCCCCAGTAGAATATCATTGTGCAAAGTTTGGCCTTGCAAAGCCTTACCCTGAATCATTGGGCTCAACAATGGCTGAGAAGCATGGAGCACCACAGGCTGCTCAGTCCCAGGAATCTTTGCTGCTTCTGTAATAAAATTCAGCTTAGTTTCATAGTCTTGCAGGTCATTCTTTGTAGATTCTTCTCCCCTGAGTGCTCCTGAAGGAAGCTCTGGAAGCTTCAGCCTATGAAAGTGCTTAGGACTCTGTTGACAGGAGGCAGCAAGATCAAAGCTATGATTTCTCCAGGGATCTCTGGGTGTCTCCTTCAGTGGTGTCCCTGCTGGCTTCTGATCTTCAGCAGGGTGTCTGTTTTCTTTGGTTGAGGGGAGTCCAAATCCTGCATCTCCTTCCCCATAGTCCCCTGCTGGTTTGGGTTTCCCTGGGTGTTTTTTCTTCTCTGCCAGCATGGGCACTTGGGCTGAGACCTTGCTCTTGCTAGGGCCTTGGAACTCAGGGCACCAAGCCTCTTCCAGGATGGAGCTGTCCACTCTGGCTTCCAGCTGAACACAAAGCACCTGGGCATTTGTCATGTTTCCACTGGGCTCTGAGATCTTGGAGACCCAGTGAACGGAACTGGAAGCTCTGGAATTAGCTTGTTTCTGGCTTTGCTGCAGTGTCTTTAGCTCAGTGGTCAGCTGTTCCTTGAAGTGATCCCATTTTGGATCTGGGATATGTGGAATGTCTGGTGGGATGGAGAGTTCATGGAGCGATGCTTTTCCTTGACTGGTTAGACTCCCTAGAGCATCCTGCATTGATACTGTTGCAATTAGGTCCCTGGACTCCCTTGCCTTTATGGGAATTCCCATCTGTATCTCTAGGACCTTTTTCCTAAGATGGAAATTTAGTTTGGTCAAGCTGGGTGCTCTGAATGAGTGTGGAATATCAGCATCTGTCTGACTTCCTAGAGGTGCTGTCTCCATCGTTTCCTCTCCCCGAGCTTCATTAAGGAACTCTTGTGCATTTTCTGTACAAGTCTCATTTTCTTCTTGAAAAATTGGCCCAGGACTTATGCATTGCTCTTCACATGAGGTTGTCTCAATCAGAGAGTCTGCTGTGATTTCACCAGACTCAGGCATTATCTCTGCAGATTGATTAGTAATTGCTGGGGTCATGGCTTTAGAGAGCGCCTCATGATAGAGAGCAGGCAGCCCTGATCGGAAGGCCAAATACTTGTGCTGTAAAGTTGTCTCCAGTTTCTCAATGGCTCCCTCAGACAAGGATCGGGATAGCTTAGTGTGTTTAATGACAGCACCTGGTGAGGTCTGCTGATGATGATCAGTGACTGTTGCCACAACTTTCCCATGTAGGTCAGGAGCCTTGACTGCCTGAAGTTCCAGGGACTTATTTTCTGGAATGCAGGGGGAGGGAGGCACTGCCAGGCTCTCAGGAATTCTGCAGTCCCGGGAGATACATACACTCGTAGGGATAGTGCCCTGGCGGATCTGCCCGCATTTGGAGTTAATGTGGCTTTGCAGTATTGCTCGGGCCTGGGCAAGAAAGTATGGCATGGGCAGTGACACAGGGGAGGCTAAGTTGGGTGAGAACAGGTCAGTAGTCCCATTGGCCTCTGGGGCTGGAGACTCGGGGACACTCACATTGTCCAAGGGTGTGCTGTTCCAGGACAGGGTCTGCTGGTTGGCAGGGGCCAGGAACAACTGAATGGACTGCTGGATCTTCTGGGGCAGGCCCCAGTGATGGTAAATCAATTTCTTCTGGAGGTGGAACTCTAGAAGCCTCCGGGCATGGTCCGGGAAGAAGAGTAGCTCCCTGGTGAGGTCAGAGACAGGCTTCCCTGACCAGGAATTTTGCATGATCTCAGAAGATTTGGTTGTGCCACAGGGTTCATATTGTATGGGACTCTGGGCATGCTGATATCTCTGGAACACATCTGGCAAGTCCCATCTAAGCTGGAGCTGCCTCTGCAGCAGGTGCCACTCCAAGGTTTCACACTCGGCCAAAGTCAGAAATGGGAAATTGATTTGGATTTGTTGATGGTCAGGTGGAGAGACTCTATTTGGGGTAGGTGGGGAAGGAGGAGTTGCTGACTGGGGTGGATTTTTAGGCATCAGGGAGAGGAAGGAGGGCTCATTGAAGAGAATAGGCAGATTCAAGGAGGGCTGGGACATGCTCTTGTTCATGGAGAGGCCTTGAGAGTCCATGAAGGTGGCAACTAGGGACTCACTGTGCAAATAAGGGAGGCCACAGAACAGTTGACTATGCTTTTGCTTCAGATGATCCCCTGACTCTTCAGCCTGTTCCCCACCTTGCGGATGGAGGCTATTTAAGACTATACTGGCTGGAGAGGGCAAAGCCAGAGGTAGAGGGTTAGGGATGTTCTGACAGTGGCGGCTTTGTTTTGAGTCCATTATGGACCAGTCTGAAACCCAGAAGGCCTGGGTGGGCTGGCCAACCATATGTAAACACCAGGTGTTGTGAGAAATGGACCTATTTGTTTCAACACAGTCATCAGAAACATCATTTATAATGAAAGGGACTGTTTGGCTATTTCCAGGCTGGTATAATAATGGTGGGTTTGGCATAAGCTGCCTCAGGGACTCTTCCACACGTCTGGGGAGTCCCCATCTTTGAAAATGCATCCATTTTTTTACGTGGACTTCAAGAAGTCTGAGGACTTCAGGATCGATGAATGGCAGGTGGGCAGGGAGGACGGTGACCATATGTAAAGCCATAGGCTGTGTTAGCTCACTGAGCTCTGTGTTTACGGTTAGCATAGGAACATGGAACTCCAAGGACTGCTGACTTTGGTTCCCATGGACAAATTCGAAGCCAGTCATCATCTCTTGCTGGTTCACAGGACACCTAAGCTCTTCAGTCCTTGAAGAAGACACAGTCCCCATGTTCCTGGGCACATCTGGTAGTTGAAATTCCTGCTCTAGGTGTTCAGCCAGGTAATCTTGGATACTGATTATACTAGTTGATGGAGCAGCCATCTGGGTTAAGCCACTTGGATCTGTTAATTGTGACAGTGTGGGGGTTGCACATGCCACTGAAAGCTCTCTGGATTGCTGGGAGTTCCATTCTAGAGTCTGCTCAAAAGAGACACTAGACAAGGACAAAATCTCCATGCAAGAGGAGCGCTGTGTTGCACCCACTGAAGTGGGAGCAGTCAGGGTGTTCTCACTTGTCAGCAGTTGCTGAATCTCCAGATCCACATCGTTGCAGATGTGGCAACAGGGGTCTGCACACAGGAGATGCCGCACACTTCCCTCCTCAGGAAGCCAACCCTGACTGGGAAGGGAAATATGGCAACTGTTACTGATGCAGTGCCGTCTACCTCTTTGGAAGAATGGGAGCTGGGCAGGAAGAAGGGAGGGGGAGGGAGGGGATTGACCCTGGGCCTCCCTTTGGGAGTCTACTGCTTTGTTTTTCTCCCTAAGAAAGTGCCATTCAGCAGGTTAGGCTTGGCTGAGCTGAGGGTCCTGGTTTTGTTGGGCAGGGCTCTCTGAGAGGACAAAGAGGTACGGTCAATTATCTGCTTTCCTGTGTTAAGAGAAGGGAACCAGACAAATGACTGGTGGGCAGAATGGCACTTAACAACAGCAAGGCAAACCCTGAAGTTTAGGACTATCATGACTTTAGTACCAAGAGTGGAACTGGGAGACTTCTGTTCTGGGATATTGGACCTCCTTGGTGCTAGCAATCCTTTCAAGCCATGAATTAGCCATCATACCCAGGTCAAGTTGGGAAGTTATCACAGGTCAGACTGGTAATTGGGAGACAGCCAAAAGCAAATCACCTTTTCATGACAGAGAGCAGTTTCCACGGCTTCTCCGCTTCTTTCCGGGAAGCTCTCCTAGCTGAGAAACCAGGAGACAGTTTTAGGTGTGACAGGAGGGGGTCAGGAGCTTTTTATGGGAACTGAGTCGTAAGGCTTTTGACTGTGAATGAGAGAAAACTGAAAATCCCGTCATGGTCTAAGTTATGTCTTTGCTTAACTTAAACATTCACAATGTGCTGTCCCATAACTAAATTAATTTGATCTTTGCAATCACAGTGTGAGTGAGGCAGGATCATCAGTGTTACACTGGATAATGCGATTTCTGGATAATAAGATTTAGAGATTAAGTGACTTTCACAGAGTTAAAAAACTAGCAAATAAAACAGTTATGATGTTCTTTTCCTCTATCCTTGTTTCTCATTCTCAGGAGAGTAAAATAGTGAATTTTGAGACATTCCCAGACTCTGCAACAGAGGAAGTTTCTGTGAGAAGGTGTCGGTTTGTGACTGGACCCCAGGGGTTAGAGCACCCAGCTCTTGGCACTGAGGGTTACAGAGGATCAGGATTCATGGGGAGTTGACTCCAGGGGAGTTGGTGGAGCGATTGGGGCTTTACCTCTCGATGCTGCATTTCTAGCCCTTTGTCTGACTCTTCGGTGCTTCTAAAAGACACAAAACAATGTGAAGCTGGGACAACATTTCTTTTAATATCACTGAAATATTAAAACCCATAGACATTTCTCAATCCTTTTTTATATGTCATTCTATATTATTTACTATTCTACTTTTTCTTTCCCTGGCTCATTTTTTTTTTTTTATACTTGATTTTGGTAAAATATATAGCAAAACATTTTCCATTTTAGCCATTTTTAAGTGTACAATTCTGACATGAATTGAAGTGTACAATTGTTACGTTTACTCTGTTGTACAACCATGACCATACTTCACTTCCAAATCCCTAATCTATCTTTTCACCACAGCACTTCCCTTCTGTTTATTTCTGACTCACTGCAAGGCTTTTCCACACTCCATACCTTCTACCCCCTGCTCAGCAGAAGTTCTGTGGAGTGCTTAGGTTGACACAGGAAGAAAAGTGGAACAGATTAAAAGGTGAAGGTTCCAGAAGCCAAAGGCTTCAGTTTATAAAAGTGTTAACGAACCACCAACAAGAAAAATCACCCTAATGTGTAGGTCTTCTCAGATCCAATGAAGTAGACTATGTCTTCTAGATCTCTACCCCAAACAAGGAAGAGTATGCTTCAGGGAGGACCTGGCAAGGACCCGGATCTGAAACCTGGATGTATACAAGAGTAACTGAAGTTTTGGTATAAAAACTTGGGGGCATAGTTGAGAAGGAGAGAAAGTTGAGGGTTTAAAATTTTCTTGTCTGATCAGTAACAGTTCAATAGTATTCATGGTGTTTCCCTACCCGGCATCTGTTCTTGTTAGGTTCCAATCTTAATCCATGTTGACTCGTTTTCATTTGCCAAATCATTAGGATAATGATGAAGAAGATGGAGGCATAGGTACATAAGAAATATCCAACATCCCATGGAACAAATATAGGGCTCAACATGGTCTAAGCCTCATTAGCATGAGGAGACCAGTCATCTCCCTCTCTAGGCATCCAGGGTACTGGTACCTAAAGACTCCGTGTTAAGTCTAGTCATCTCCGTGTCACAGGGGATAGAATCAGACCACTTGACTGCATCACAAAGCCCTCCTGTATCATGAAGCAGGTGTGGTGTCAGAGGCATTTATTTGTCATAGGGAAGCTCATGTGGTGATCCAGCCCATTGATGAAGGTATCTGGTTATCTGTGAGGGTTACAGAGTCTGCAACTAAAGGTGCCATGGTTTTAGTCAGTGTCTACACCCATTCTCTCTCCACTCTCCACATCGCCCTAGCCTGGTGGCTCATCTTTCTTTGCTATGGCCACTCAGCCTCAGAAACTGAGTGTTTAAGGACACAGGTCCCACTATAGGATAGATTAGCTAGGGCAGCAGAACCTCACTAATCTCTTTACATGTTCTGGAAGTATACCTGAAAAGCTCACAAGAGGTTAGGGCAGGCAGAATCTGGTAAAAGCTTGAAAATGAAGGTTATAAATAATGGGTGCTTGGTAACCAGGGGTGCAGGAAGGGGACTAAGGCTGATGTGACAGGAAAAGACCAAGGTGACATCAGCTTTAAATGTCATTGTGGGAGGAAGGAGGGGATGATTGTAGTCTGTATTGGTGAGAAGAGACTGTAAACACTCCTTCCATGGAGACAGGAATGAGCCTCACCTCAGGAGGCCTGTCCAAGGCCTGGTTTTCCAGAGCTGTCTTTATAGACATTACAGTCTTTGCTTGCTAAAGGAGAGGACTATCTGGCAGAGATGGGCTAGTGGCTACTTTCGACTAATGGTCATAAACTTGTGATTGAATCTGTTAATCTATTCTGGATGTATGCGCTTGACTGAAGGATGTTTCTTTTTCTTTTTCTTTGATTATAACATGACTTATAAACTTTAGGCAGAGCAAGTGTTTTCCAGTTCAGTCCCAGGATCTAGTACTCCTATGCTCTGCAAGTGAGAGTGAGAGACTCTTTGGTTCTTCTACCAGCAGGCATGGTGAGTACTCAATATGTGCCCAGTCCTAAACTGGGAGTGTCAAGGGTATAAAGCCATTGAGTTCCAGTTTGTCTCACGATACTTAAAACATTTTAAAGATAGAACCAATTCCCATGAAGCGAGAGCCAACAATTAAGAATAAGTAATATTATGTACTTATTTATGAGGCTCAGGCCACAAACAACACATTGCAGAGGTGAGAAAGCATAGTGAGGATCAGGGTGTCCAGAAAAGGCTCTACAGGAAAGCAGCAGTGCTGCTGAGTCTACAAGTGGAGGTTGTGGGCAAAAGGAAAGGGTTCCAAGTCCGAGAGAAACTTACACATGATGGCAGCAAGTGAGGAGTAGGCTATAGAGCCCACTTGGCAGTAAGAGCTGTGCTTTATCTCTACCAAAGGTGTAGTTGTATAGATTTGGAAGGAGTTGTAAGAAAGATTAGAGGAGCCAAGTTGAGGCTTCTTGATGGAGGGCCTTGGCATTTATTTGGTTTCAATCACTAAAGTTAATGGAGTTTAAAAGGTAGATGTACATATACATGGTACAAAATTTAAAAGGCAAGAAAATGTGCATAGCATGTCTCCTTATGACACTTGTGTCCCATTTCTCAGTTTTCTTTCTTGTGTGTTTCAGAACTAGTTCAAATGAAAAGCATAAAGAAATTAACATTTTTTATTGGTGTGGTGGGCTAATGTGCTGGGCTGCAAAGTCACTTTGAACAGCAAGGTCAGCGGTTCAAGCTCATCTGTTGCTCCTTGGAAACCTTACACAGGGTCACTAAGAGTTGGAACCAATTTGACGGCACAACAACAAATTTACAATGATGTAAATTTGTTAGATATGATAGATAATTTCTCGTCTTATTTCATTTAATGTAAATATCTCTTGTGTACATAATCTTCTTTAATGACTAGCCAGTCTTTTTTTTTATTTATTTAATGTTTTATTGTTAATTATGTGATAGTTTACATGGGAGAACACTAGTTTTACATTCATCCTATTGTATATAATTTCATTGCCATGTTTACAATCCCTTCCATGCATCATCAACCAACCAAAGGGTATACTCTGCAAGGCTGCTCTCCCCCCCGTCCCCCCTGGTCATCAGCACACAGCCCCTCTCTCTCTCTGGGTCTAAAGTCCCCAGCTGCTCCATCTCTCCATGTCATACTCTCTGCCTCCATCTCTGGCATCATTGTTTCTCTAGGTAGGGTCCCACACTCTGCTTTTCTTCCTTGATGGTCCCAGGAACCTCTGCTCCTAGACTGCAAAGTCAATTACTCCCCTCCTTTTGCTACAAAAACATCTACCTTTACATTTCTAGCCCTCACAGTTAGTCCTTATAGCAATTATTCACTATTGTGCCACATGAGTGCCATCCCCATCTCCTTTCATCAGCCCTACCCAACAGATTGTATACTATTCAGTGGAGATTCTAACTTCCTCCATGCCCTCTGGATCTAGGCTCCCTCTTGAAAGCTTATAAGCCAGTCACTTCTTGCCTTTGTAGTCCCCCATTTTGGGTAGTCAATGTCCAAGTTGTCTATCCCTGTCTACCCTGTGTATCAAAGGGGTGGGGATGATCCTTGCTGGAAAGATTTGTTCCCTCTTTTGAGCTACTGCATTCATAGGTGTAGGTCAAGTTCATCAAATTATATCAGATTACTCTTTTTTTCATCTTCTAGTTGAGCTCTGATCATCCAGTCATTGAAGCCAAGTCAAGTGGGTATTTTCTGTAAGTGTGGATGTTCTTATCAGCTGGATACTTTACTCTCCACTCTAGTCCTCTGTAGCTATGTCACTGACTCTGGGCCCAGGTGTCCCCAGGTCTTGCCATATTGCTGGTCAACCAGGTCTCCACCTGGGTTCACAGGAGTCTATTGAACATAGCAGGCCTTCACTCACAGCTTCATTGCTGTTTTCCCTCACTTCCCCTTATCGGTGACCAACATGGTCAGCAGTCAGAGTGCATGTCTGCTCGTGTATTCCCATTGAGTCTTGGAAGGGGGTTTGCCCTGAGGGGACCCAACCACTTGCCTTGATGTCTCCTGAGTGAGCAACTTGCTTGTTCTTGTAGTAGTCAGTTGGACTGCCATTACTGTTTTTTATTTTTCCTGTTGGTCTTTCTTTCAAGAAGTATCTTCTGTTCTTCTAGCCACTCCAGGTTGGTCTGCTTGTCCTTTCAAGTGGAAATTTCCTACCTCAGAAGATTCTTAGCCAGTCTTTTTATTATTGAAAACATCACTTAAAATTTATTTCAATTTGTTTTACACTCATTTGTTTTTGTGAATTTTGAATAATACATATATATTTTTAATTTAAGTGGTATTCATATAACAAAATTAACCATTTTAATTATGTTTATTATATTAAGGTATATAATCCACAAAGTATATTTAGTACTTTCTCAATGGTATGTGACCACCACCTCAACCTAGTTCCAAAACATTTTCATCACCTAAAGAATACCCCAAGGAGCCCTGGTGATGCTGTGGTTAAGTGTTTGGGAGCTAACCAAATGGTCAGTGTAGAAATCCCAGCTATGGGAGAAAGATGTGGCAGTATGCTTCCCTAAAGATTGTTGTTGACGACCCGGGAGCAGGCTTGTGGGATGTACCATTTGGTTGGTTGATGATGCATTGAGGGGATTGTAACCATGACAATGTAACGATATACAATAGGATGAATATAAAGCTAATGTTCTCCCATGTAAACCATCACATAATTCACAATAAAACATGAAAAAAAAATTGTTGTTGTTGTGTTAGGTGTCATCAAGTCAGTATCGACTCATAGAAACCTATGCACAACAGAAGGAACCATTGCCTGGTCCGGCGCCAACCACACAGTTGTTACTACACTTGAGCTCATTGCTGCTATCATCATGCCAATCCATCTCATTTGGGGTCTTTCTCTTCCTCACTGACCCTCTACTGATGTTCTTCTCCAGGGACTGGTCCCTCTTAATAAAAGTATGGGAGTTGAAGTTTGGCCATTCTGACTTCTAAGGAGCATTCTGGCTGTACTTCTTCCAACACAGATATGCTAGTTCTTTTGGTGGTATTTTAATATTTTTCTCCAACACCATAACTCAAATAACATCAACTCTTCTACAGTCTTCTTTATTCATTGTCCAACTTTCATATGTTTATGAGGTTATTGAAAATACATACCATGGCTTGGGTCAAGTGCACCTTAGTTAGTCCTCAAACTGATATTTTTGCTCTTGAAAATTTTAAAGAGGTTTTGTGCAGCAGATTTGATTTGAGTAAAATGAAGTCTTTGACAACTTCAATCTTTTCTCCATTTATATGAATGTTATTTATTGGTCCAGCGGTGAAGATATTGGTTTTCCTTATAATGAGATGCAACCCATACTGTGGTTTTTGATCTTCAACAGTAAGTATTTTAAGTCCTCTTCACTTTCAGCAAGCAAGGTTGTATCATCTGCACATTGCAGGTTGTTAATGAGTTTTCCTTCATCCTGATGCTACATTCTTCATCATATAATCCAGCTTCTCAAATTACTTGCTCAGCATACAAATTAAATAAGTGTGGTGAAAGAATACAACCCTGACACACACCTTTCCTAATTTTAAATCATTCAGTGTGCCCGTGTTCTGTATGAACAACTGTCTCTTGTTCTATGTACAGATTCCTCATGAGTACAATTAAGTGTTCTGGAATATTCATTCTCTGCAATGTTATCCACAACTTGTTATGAGTCACACAATTGAAAGCCTTTGCATTGTCAATAAAGCACAGGTAAACATCTTTTTGATATCCTCTGCATTTAGATTTAAAGATTGTTGTTGTTGTTAAGTGCCATCGAGTCAGTTCCGACCCATAGCGACCCTGTACACGGTTTCTGAGGGTGTAAATCTTTACGGGAGTAGAAAGCCTCATCTTTCTCCCGCGGAGTGGTTGGTAGTTTCGAACCGCTGACCTTAAGGTTCGCAGCCCGATT